AAGAAAACGAAAATGGAGATTTCAGAAGTTGCACTAATGCGAATTTCCACAACAGAATAGCGAGAAAACAAAATCCAAGAAAAGAAAAAAAAATCGATTTTTGGTAGTAAGGTCAAAATCGTGATTTTGGGGTCTAACTAATGTGCTCTAATCAATCAATAAAGACTAATCAGCTATTTAGTCCCCGCACACGTGTCAGATCAGGTTGTCCTGATTCACGTGCGGTGCTCCGATACCAACTGTTACATGCTCAGATGAGCGATGTACATCATAACCGAGGATCAGCAATGTGATAAAAAGGACTGAATGGACAAGGCTGTGCAAGTGGAATCTCAACTAGCAATGTGCATTCCGATACATACATAATGGTGTCTGAATAGCGCAGTGGAAGATTTAGATACAAGTCCTGACCTGACCGGGACTGACCTCATTCACGTAGCAAAAGATAGCGAAGCAGAATGCTAGAATGCTAATGACTAGCCCAATCAATGTTTGAACGCAGACCAAACATACATCGTATCCATCACCAAGTGTGAAGGAGCCTGGGGCTGTACACAGGAAGAAAGCGCCAGGTCCAGACATACACGGACTGCAATCAGACTTGACTTATTCACACTTGTCCTGCATGCAAACAGCGATACAGCAAACTGGCGACATGCGCCCACACAGTACTCAGTGATATCGTGACCAGATAAGAGTTCTCTTCCAACTGGCTATGGCGGCTGTGCGCCCACACAACTCACTGTTCGCACTCTGGATCACCCTGGATGTCCCACACGCAACACTCTGCACACACACACAGTACACACACACTGCACCCTACACTAAGCTATGGCAGCTATGGCTGCCGCTACCTATCGCTATGGCTACCCTGCTTCACTCTCGCCCACTTCGTCTTCGGGCCACCAGCAGACCTCCTTGCACAAGACGCTGAAGCAGCGCTTCCGCATGGCTTCCGCCTGAATGAATGAATGGCTGGGCGCAGCCTCTTGATTTATACTTCTGTGCTGTGTTGGTCTGCCCTGTATCCCTGGCCCATCGTGCACACAGTCCCAGACGGTACTTGCTGGACTGGACCGGACTGGGTGGACTGGGACTGCTGACTGTACTAGGTGGACTACCACCACTTGACCACTTGCCTCTGCTTAATGCAGGCTCACTCTGAAAGGCCACTTCTAGAAACCTCTAACGTGGCCTTTCGGTACTGTAGCAGCTACGACTTTGCCCTTTCAGGTAAGTAGGAGCTACGACCTTGACCCTTCAGGCAGTCTACAGCTACGACCTCTAAACTGTCTAGACACCTACCCTACAGGTCTACAGTTCGAATCCCTTCTGCCCTGTGATCTACGAAAAGCTACCTACCACTGGCGGTCCTACAGGTAGCAGGTTCAAATCTACGGGTTGACACCGGTACTGTACACAGGTAAGATGGGGAACTGGGGGTTGATCCCTGGGGTCTGCATCAGCTACTGCGAACTGGTGAATACCGTTTCACTCCCGCCRGCCTAAATTCGAGGTCCTCCGAGAAAATTTCAGTCCAAGGCAGGACCTTTACCTTTCTGTTGTCTTTCGTAGGCCCGGACTATATCAAGAGCTGTCTCTAGAAGTTCAGATCTTGTGAACCAGCGGTCGTCCTCTGGTTCTTGATAACTAAAATGAACCTTGTACTGCTTTTGTGGACGACCTCTACCTCCAGTTCTGAATACATCTTCAGCTACTATGCCATCGATTGTCGTACCTTCCATCCATATCGGGCGGAATCATAGATCTACGGGATGGAAACTGATCACTTGTTTGACAAGGTAACAACTTTGATGCATGGAAAACTGGGTAAGTGTGGAGGTGTGCTGGGAGCTCGATGGTATAGGACGGTCCATCTTCGCCACTGTGCTGGGAGCTCGATGGTATAGGACGGTCCATCTTCGCCACCCTTGACTTCTAAGACTGGCCACGGTCCTCTATACGTGGGCAGTAACTTCTGTGAGATGTTCTCCTCAGGTGCGAACTCTTTAGAACTGACCCAGACTAAGTCGCCTACCTGGAACTGTGAGGGGCGACGATGCTTGTTAGCTTGCTCTATCATCCTGTGTAGGGCCTTTCTGAGGTTCTCTACGACGGTAACTAGTTCCTTCTCGTGCTGTACAGCAAACTCCCTGGTCCCGGGCGGTAATCTGTGAATTTGATCCCGGTTGAGTCCTTCAAACGGTCTGCGCGGTCTAAAGGACTTGTGCAGTTCGTTGGGAGTGCGGCAGGTAGATAAATGCACGCTGTTATTATACGCACTAGCTACTTTAGGCAACATCTCGTCCCAGTTAATATGATCTGGCCTAATGTACATGCGCAGAACTTGCTGTAGGATCTTGTTCATCTGCTCTGTCTGACCGTTAGTCTCTGGATGACGGTCGGACGACGTCAACAACTTAGATCCATATACTCCCATGAGTTCTTGCCAGTTCTGGGTAGTAAAGCGACTATCTCTATCGCTAACTATTGACAGTGGGATCCCATTCTCACTCACCCATCAGTCAAAAAATCTCTGTATGACTAAATCAGTACGTGCCTCTGAAGGCAAAGGAACAAAAACTGCGTACTTACTAAAACGGTCAACTACGACTATGACTTGGCTCTTGCCATGCCTACTCTTGACTTCAGTGTCCATGAAGTCTATGGACATGGAGTCTCCCGGCTGATCCGGAATGGGCAAAGGTTTGAGAAGACCTAACGGGGCACGCGTAGAAGTCTTGTTACGCTGGCAGACTTTGCAACTGCGAACATACTCTATGCAGTCATTCTTCATTCCTGGCCAGGTATACACGCGCATGAGATTGGCTAATGTCTTTTGCCAACCAAAATGACCTTCTGTGTCGTGGCACTCTCCCAAAATCAAACTACGAATCTCTTCGCTATTGGGGATGCATAACCGGTCAAAAACATTAGTCTTCTCAAAAAGCAACCCTTCAGTAGTGCGGTAGTTCGGTTCGGTCTCTGGGGCCTCCTTGACTCGCGCGAGGAGCTCGCTATAAATAGGGTCCTGCGCGTAGGCTTCTCTAACCTTCTGCTGCAGATCCTTCCCTATATCGAGGTAATGTACTATTGCCCCAAAGTAATCAGCTCTTCTACTCAGAGTATCCGCGACTACGTTATACTTCCCTTTGACAGGCTTGAGCTCGAAGTCATACTAATCTATCTCTGCGGCCCACCTAGTAAGCTTAGGTGTCATCCTGCCCTGCGTCTTTAACCATCTTAACGTCTCATGGTCTGAGTAGACTTTGAAGTGCCTCCCAAGCAAGTAGTGCTTCCAGTGTTCTAACGCTTGCCTGAGAGCGTAGAGTTCCCTCTCATAGGTAGATGTCGCAACCTTCTCTAAAGGCATTCTGGCGGACATGAACTCTACGGGCCTATAACCATGGCCATCGTCTTGCTGCAAAACAGCACCTATGTCATATTGGCTAGCGTCGGTCGTGACGACAAAGGGCAAGGACGGATCGGCGACTTTAAGGACTGGATACTCTATCAGTGCCTGCTTCAACTTCTTCATGGCAGACGTGCAGTCCTTGTCCCACTTCCAGATGGTCTCCTTTCTCAACAATCTGCGAAGGGCGCAACGATGGTGGAGAAGTTCCTCACAAACTTCCTATAATGATTAGCTAAGCCCAGAAACGAGCGCAACTCTGTCAGCGTATGTGGCGTGGGCCAATCTCTAATAGCTATGATCTTGCTATCCTCTGGCTTAATGTCGTCTCCGTCTAAGACGTGGCCTAAATACAAAACTTGGGTCTTCGCCCAATCGCACTTCTTTGCATTCATCTTGAAATTAGCTTCCCGCAGCTTCTCCAAGACCTGCCTGAGATGACCCTGATGCTCATCGAGGGTCTTACTAAACACTAAGATATCATCTAAGTAGACAACAACAAATCTATCTAACCATGGCCTAAACAAATTGTTCATACAGCGCTGGAACGTAGCTGGCGCATTGGTTAGCCCAAAGGGCATCACAATGAACTCATAGTGCCCATACCTAGTCCGAAAGGTTGTCTTATACTGATCATAAGGATGCACCTCTATCTGATGATATCCGGACTTCAAGTCTATCTTGGAGAAATACTTCGCCCCCTGCACTCGATCTAAGAGATCGTCTATCCTAGGCAGTGGCTCGACATTCTTCACTGTAATAGCATTCAGACCCTTATAGTCTATACACATTCTCAGCTCTCCCTCTTTCTTAGGAACAAAGAGAACAGGCGTTCCA